GCCAGGATTTGACCAGCACGGGCCTTGCCCAGACGTGATTTTGAGCCAACTGTGGTGGAGTATGCGCACACCCTTTCGTGGTTCAAAGCTGGGAAGGTTCAGCTCGTCAGATTACCCCACCCTTAGGCCTTGATGGGCAAGTCAGATTTATGGAACAGGTGGATTCCTGCGAGCCTGTGCTAGGTTGAAGGCAGAAGGTCGAACTTCGGTTGAATCAGTTGGACTCCTTCTGGCATTTTAAGCTGCCAATTGACCCAGTCACCCCGAACAGGCCCGAAAAAGGGCGGGGGTTGTGTGTAGATATTATATATACATTTTTTCCCTAGGGCTCCAACCATATCCCCAGAAGGTGGTTAGACCCCCCAAACCCACCCCAACCACCTTCTCAGGAGGTGGTTGGAACCCTAGGGTATATATACCATGCTCTAGATCGATGGGGGCCTTTCCAACTAGCAGTCTTCATCGGTGTCGTGGCGGAAACGAAACCACCCGTGCCTCTTCCGAGGTTCCGACGGGCTGGCCACCGATGCCTTAGGGTGGAGGGCCACTCCCCAATTGGGACGTCCCACCAACAAAACACATCACGCCGATCTTCTTCAATTTCCCTAGGCATGAAAAGTGGATCAAATGGGGCACCTGTTCGTTTTGGGTGGGGAAATGAATCCCCCAAAGTTGTTGTTTTCCCTGCAGGTGATCTTCTACTACTGGCCGTCATCATCTGGCCTCTGTCATGCCTGTCATAGGGTCCAAATACGTCATGACAGGACTCTTCACCTGCTACTCAAAGACTTTGATGCCAGGCTCCCTTGCTTCTCCCGCAGGCACCGCGTAGTAGTCAGCGCCAGAGCATGGGGAAGAAAGCGCCGAGGACACCGCCGGCGCCGCTGGGGCGAAACCGCGGCTACTGGAGGGTGCGCTGCATGAGGGCAAGGTGCCTGGCATCAAATCCGTCCAGCTGTCAGGGCTGACACGTCTTTCTCAGGCATGATCCGTTCGGGTATACAATGACCGGTATATCCGTGCAAAACCGCTGTGCAAGAGGTGGGCCGAATCCCACAAGCACGCCTGTGTTCAATCATTGGTGATGCACACAGTTCGGACCTAAATACATTGCACCAACTACAACATGTACAACATTAATTACCTAAAAACATGCCCGCAAAGCTAACTGGCTAACCATTGTTTCCGGCAAACAATGTTTGTTGGGTACCGATGTGAAGTTCGGAGTTGAGAATCATAGAGCCGAGTTGCAACGTTGTTCAGATCATATCCAAGCGCCTGTTCTCCACCCTTTAATAAAGGTTCCCCCCGTGTGTCAAGCAACAAAACAAACATAACATATATACGACCCAACACAAAACACACAAGCCGTCATCCTTAGTCCCATCATGTGAACCTCACGATGGGCCAATAGGAAGACCCCAAGACCCCGTGAAGCCTCCCAAATCCATCCACACCTCGCTGTCGCATGGCATCCAACAGCCCTCCAGGGCGGGCAGCCGCCTGGCCGAGGGGTTGTGGATCTGGGCGGTCCGGAAATATAGACACATTAATTTCCCGGCCCCAACCATGGTCTAAATGGTCTTGGAAGGCCAGAGCGCTATTCTCCAACAACAAAGAAATTCTTTCAAAAAAACAGAACATCTCTTCATGGCCAAAAACTCCGCAAAGAACGCTTGAGTAGTTCACTGCCTACTCCGCATGGCCAACATGTCGAAGCTACTTGGGTGTGTATTAGAATAGGGATGCCGCCAATGGCTTTTCTGTGTTGGAATTCCACTCGTGTCTAACAATATTAAGGCCAGAATTTGTCAAAGCGCTTTAATTCCCTCTTCCACTGTTCCACTGCTGCGCCGTCTGCAGAACCACACGCCCAGTGCACTGGTGGAACATCTGTGGCTAAGACTGCTGTCTTGATTTGATGCTAAGCACTGTTTCTTTTCCCTCCAACGCTGGGGCAGCTGGTGCCACTAAGCGCAGCTGACCAACTCTCTTTCTGTGGCTTTTTCCACCCAAAATACAAGCCAGATCAAGCCAGTCAGCAGGAAAAAACAATGCCACTAGAAATGTTGACACTGTTGTTACGTATCCACACCCAAGCCTAATCTCACTTTCGAGAAAGAGGCTCAGGACTCAAAGCGTAAAAAGAAATAACTCGCCAAGCTCCTGCTTTCAGAGACGAAGGTAGAAGTTCTAAGCAGCGCTGCGTGGAAGTTTGCCAGGAAGCTTCCTTGAGGCAAGGGCTGCCCATAAGCCACACCATTCTTTCACCACGTGGCCAGTACTGTCATGATCAGAAATTGGCTGCGCGCCCAATGAGCACAGACCCAAATGTCAACGCTAGGGCAGCTTGGAGGGGTTTCCGGAATTCAATTTTGCGGTCTTGGCCACATGCCATGGAAAAAAATTAAGGAGAGCCGTCCCCCCTGTCTGGAAGGACATTCTGCGCTGCTAAGGGCCGGCCAAGCTGCAGCAGGCATTATGTAGAGTCTGCATGGATCGGGCACAGCATCAAACCAACTCTATAAGGCAACACAATCGAAACAAGCTGTTCAAAAAGAATCGTGCAAGGTATTTATGTGTTACGTGTTATAGTCGCGAGCTTACAATCCAGGCTTCAAGGGATTCTCATTACAAAAGCCTCCCCAAGCTGCAGGGCGCAGCATCATGAAACTTTCTGATGTCTTCAACAAGACAATGGCCTTGAAGCACGCCTAAAGGTCGCCTAAGAACCAGTGCAAGCTTTCATCTTCGCTTGCGCGTTCTTGACACCATCCCTAAAGCGAAGCCAAACATTGTCCAGCTGAGGTGAGGCCTGGGGAATTGACATTGCATGCTTTTGTTCCACCACGAGACTCATTTCCCATGCCGCCGTCACATGCTCAGCCCTCTTTGTCCTCAGCTGGGCAGGAGCCCCTGCAGGCGCAGCCGCACTGGAAGAAGCTGGTGCATCTGTTGCGCAGTGGAGCAGTGGTGCTTTGACCAATCGGTTAACCTGGCGTTGGCAGTGTCCCCAGGTCCATCACCCACAGGTCCTTCTTCATGAGAGGCGCCCTGCCACCTCCAGCAGGGGCAGCAGGCGCAGCACGCGCAGGCGCAGTGCCAGCTAGCTCAGCTACAGCTGTGGGCCGCATCGTAAGCTTCCATCGTCCTGATGGCCTTGGCGACAGCATCAGCTGGCGTTACCATGTTGGGGCACCACAAGCAAAGAGCTTGAGATGGAAAGGTCTAATGACCCAGCAAGGAGCCTCAGCGCGCAGGACCCTGAAAGCCTCATGCGATCCTCATGTAGCCTCATGTCAAGCATGGGTCCAATCCAAGCCTTCCACGTGCGCACAGGGCTGACGAAAAGGCTGAAGAAGGGCAAGTCCAGCATGAAAAGAACGCTTGAACGCTTGGTCTTGAGTCTTGACCCTTCAATGATGCAAAATACTTTAACCTGACCACAAAAGGTTCTGAGGCCCCATGCCAGGGTCAGGAGAGAAAGGACAGGAGGAGCCGCTTTGGCCGCGTGGACAGGCAAGAATGAAAAGCCAAGGCCACTCTATCAATTCAATGGTGCTTCTGGATGCAAGACAAACAATTGCAAAACGATTTGTCTACCCCCCATCTTCCAGGTCCCTATTTGAATACACACCCACTTCTGGATGGACATCATAACCATTCAAAACCCACCCTTTCGGTCAAACGTGCCCCAAACATGGCCAAACCCCATCGAGAAAACCCTCGGTGAGACCCACACCGTATATTTCTGCCTTTTCATCCATCAAGACACCACCAAGTTAGTTTGGCATAGACAGGTCCGATCCAGTATATCTGTATCTCCCAGGCTGCGGTTCCCCGCTCTTCCCACACCAGAAGAGCCTTTCCTGTTTTTTGCGTGAGACATCGCCCCACCAGCACCGGTCTGAGGCGAATGGAATCGCGAAATCGAAACGAGCGGGCCGTGCGCAAGTTCAGCCAAGTTCAGTACCAGTACAACCCATAGTAGAATTGCCTTGCCTCCTGCATCCAACGAGCATGGCGAATGATTCAAGCCATGCTGGTTTGGGGGGGGGGCGAGTGCAACATGATAGAGATCAGACTTAGTATAGAGATCCTTTAGACAATCATGAGGGCAGGTATTCCGGACTTGGGATCAAAAGGTGGCACGGTCAGCTTGGGATGAACAGGTGGAGGTAGTCCCAGCAACCACCTCCTCAATTGCATACCTTGGGTCTACGTATCCCATGACCGGTCACGGGATGATGGTTCGGGTGGAGCTTCACTGACTGAGAAAGGTCGTTACAGGGAATGGTACAGACCCCTAATGTAGACTCTTGAGGACCATAACCCCAGCATACCCCAGCCATTTGAATTGAACATCCTCTTCTGCCTCTCGCGCACACGAAGGGTTCACAGTTCTGTACAAGATCATCTGCCTTCTACAGAAGAATTGAACATCCTCTTCATATGGGGGGTGTATGGTCCTCAAGAGTCTACATTAGGTGAGTTGATGCCAACCCCGAAAAAGCTTTTTCCCCAAACACCCCGCGGGTCTGAGGTCGGTCTCCCCAATTTCCCTCCGCTTTCTTGCTACAAGTAGCCGCATAGTCCATTGATCTGAGGAAGGTTCCGAAGAAGGGATTGAAACGTTGGAGGACGTGACCAGTGTCAAAGAGAATCCAGCCAAACATGCCTAAAGTGACCCGTGGATTCAATTCGCTTCATGTAGAATTCTGTGACAAACAGGGTATACGTGATGTTTATAGCGCACAAATAAGTGTGGAGGTGGCAAAGCATCAAGTAACTAGCTCTTGGCTCCCTAGTTCAAGAGCTATATAGTATAAAACTTGTCAAAATTGAATAGCATCAGCTCCAGGACGTCCCTGCAAACCAGCAACGTCAGCTTCGTCAGCTTCAGCTTTTTCAGAATTCTTGGACTCATGGGTACTGTGATGTGCTGTGCTGCTTGGGTGGGCCCTTCTTCAACCCAAGAGGTCGCCATGGCGCCACAGTCCTCAAGATGGCCGTGCCATCTCGTGTCGCAGAGATCGCATCTTCAACTGGTACATGGTGAAAATAATGCCAGCAGGGAGTAGAACCTTGGGGAGCAAGGGGTTCTGGTTCGAGGCTGCACTCTCACCCAAGATGACGTGAATCAACGAGACTGGTCTAGATGAATCACCAGATCGAGACTATTCCCATAGAGTGTGATGAAGAAATAGGGGCTCTGTATGACTGGTCCCTAGGGCTGGGTCGGTTCCTTTCAACGTGACGCGACCGACTGAAACGATCGATGAGCACGAATTCATGAACGGTTTGTGAGCTTGTAGAGCTCAATTTTTGAGGGCTGATCTCCCAAAGTGGCCCAAGGGGGAATCAAGAGAACACTGCTTGCCACTGCTCAACGCATCTCACACAGGAACAAAGATCTCTTGCAAATCCAAGTCTACCAGGATCAATGACACCAGCGGCAAGTTCCAATACCATCGCCCGGAAGGCATCTCCTGCCGACATCTTCACCCACAGACTAGTAGCTTGTTTCAATTTCAATTTACAGTGTGTTTTTAGTTAATTAGTTTGGTTCACTGACTTTGCCCTGGCTCTGGGAGGGTCTGCCATCGGGATGCCATCAGGTGGCATTGGATCTGGGCAGGCCCCAGAAATGCCCCCCCCAGGGCCTGCCAGGGAATGGATGCATGCAGGTTAGATCTGCGGGTGGGTCGATGGAACACTTGAGGTCGCCTTCGAGGGCATCACCGGCACTGGTGCATCCTTGTTGTACTGACCCTGCCATGGACTGGGCCTCGGTTGCTGCGGCGGCTGCGGGGTAAGACGCTGGGGGCCTAGTGGGCTGCGGGGTGGGCTGAAGAAGACGCGGCGTCTAGTGTTTGGAGATCAGATCCGTTAAACTAGGAGCCACTTGGATATATGATGTTGCATATAGATATATACTATATAGGTATCTCATTATATATTATGTAAAGGGCAGGTATGACTCCAACAACATCAAAACAACATCTTATGCAACCACTGACAAGGAAATGCACTATTGGAGCACTTTTGGGTGGCGAAAAGCACGTTGAGGAGCAACCTTGGAGAATCGAAATGGACATTGATATGCCCTAAGTCTCCTATGAACCAGCTGTTCTAGGACTCTTCGATCACCCGCGCGACGAAACCCTCCGCATCCATCGACCTGTCCCCAGGACCCAGTGGCGTCTGCACGCCACCAAAGAGGGCGAGCGGGATGAAGGAAAGCATGGGAAGAAAATAGCAGGTCAGAACCAGGCACAACGTCCCAATCCCACACCTGCAGCAGTTTCGACTCTTTGACAGCGATATGTTGTCGAGCTGCCAACTCTGCGATATAAGGTAGGATGTGTTTGTTGGGATGGATTTGTGGATTCGATCTGAACAGCAGGTAGCCGGTGGCTAAAAAAAAAGGAACCAAAAAGAACTGTGAGCACCTTCCCATTCGAGCTTCTTGCAGCCCTTCACAAACTAATGCGGTCAACCGGGTAAATCGGGGCATCTTCTCAACATAACCAGCTCTGGTAGGTTTTCTTCCAAAGATGGCCCATCTCTGGCAGGTGTTCTTCCAAAATTCACTTACAGTAGCTCTGGCAGGTTTCATATAAGCTCTCTTCTTATGAACCCTCCCACAAAGCAACCGGATATAAGGTGATTCTTCAAAACACCACCGCCTCTGACACCTGGTCAGCTCATGACCATCAGACTCCAGCTCATCGGGCTTGAGACTGAAGTGCCCTCCTCACCAGCTTTTCAGGAGCTACACCCGGGAAGCTTAACATGAAACCTAAAAATGGACGGTTGGAATTACTATTGTCCTCTACAACCGAGTGTTTTTCAGGTTCCATGTCAATCTTCCAAGCCGACCAAACCCCCGGAAGAGTGAGGGGCCCTCTTAGTGTGGTCCTTCCAAAGCCTTTCAAGGAATCTGCATGAGGAATGATGAGGATATATTTTGAGAATTCTGGTTTCTGTCTGATGAGGATATATTTTGAGAATTCTGGTTTCTGTCTAGATTTCCAAACGGCTTCAAGCCGAGTTGACTTTGGGAGAGAAATGTCCAACTCCAAAGCGAAGTTAAAGTACCTTTCAGGAGGCCGTCGACACATTCCCCAGCGACAGCGGAACGGCTAGGAAGATGCGTCAAGCAGCTTGTAAAAGCCAAGTGGTGAACTACAAATACTACAGTACAATGAATGGAGGATTGGTGGGAGGGAACACCTACAGGAAGCCATGGTTTCCACGCCAAAGACTGTGTCCTGTCAATTTTACCTTAAACCAATTCGGTGACAATAAGGACGCAAGAGCAAGGTGACGACAAAGTGAGCTTCCTGTGCAAACGATCTCATTGTGTATATGTACTTCTATAGCGTGCCGTGCCATCGACACCCACCACATCCCACCACCCATCTAATCTAACATCAGAGCCGACATCTGACGAAAGCTGGCCGGGTTGGAACCTGCATTTTCCATCCTTCCCCACACCCCTTCGTCCCGCATCCCGTCCTTCACAGCCGTCCATGGGAGAAACGTGGTCATCTCTCATCAGGCCCCGCTCCAACATCATCGGCGGGGCCCAGTTTCAGCCGCAGCTACCGGTGCATCCAAAAACCCGGCGGCCTTGAACCTTCCTCGAGCGAGTGTGTCCATGTCTTTGTGATATCGGATGAGCCGGGTGGATACAAAAGGCGATGGGTTTCACATGTCTAATTTTTGCGAGCCCTTCTGGATCATGCCACTCAATAGGTCAGCACTATCCATTTTGCAGGCTCCACGTGCGCAAATACGGCGTGGAGAAGGTGAATACGGCTTGGGGCCCAGGATGGTTTTAATATGTTTTAATCGGTTTTGACCTGAATCACTGAAGGGCCGTTCTGATTCACGTGCAAACCAATCACTGCAACAGGTTTTAATTGGTTTTAATTGGCTTTGACTCTCAATCACTGCACGACCCAACATGCTCTGCTCCTGGTCTCCGTCCCGCCTGCGCGAGGCCATCCAGGACTGCAGCCGCTGCGGCAGACAGAGGCACTCGAGGTCCAGAAGAAAGCGCCTGTGTTTGCTGCAAGGTCTCCACTCAAAGGTCTTCCGCTCAGCTTGCGAAAAGAGAGCAACCAAGGTCTTTCTGTGTTGCTCTCAGATCGTCATAGACAGGAAAAGGGTCCACGGATCCATTTTCGCTCTCTTGCCATCTTTTGCCTGTCTATGACTATGATCTGAGAGATTCTGCCTGCTGCCCCAAGCAGTTTCATGTGCGGCGTATTTATTTGCAGTGAAAAGGGGTCAACCACAGTAGGATGATGATGGCAGGCCTTTCTCCCCCAAAATGGTGATCATATTCCAGGACTCTGTTACAGGTCTCCGAAGTGGTGGTTTTTGCAAACCTTTTCAAGTGGCAGGTGCTCACCTGTTGGAAGGTGCTGGCCTTAGCAGCTTTGTACAACATGTTACACATAATAAGACACCCAGGGGGCATCTCTTCCAGGGCTCATCTGCGAAGCCAGGCGTTTTCCCACCAAGCCGAGCCACCGGTCGGGACTCCCTTCCGATCGATTCCCCCATACCTGGACCATACCTGGATGGAAAGGGGAACCGGGGATGCACCCAGTCCCGGACAGGCGTTCAGTGGATCCTGACTCAGGCGTTCAGGATTGCGCACAGCCACCAGATAGCTTCCAAAAACACGCCCCCCTTGGCTGCCAAACCAAGATGCTGTTTTTGGTCCTAAGGAGTCCTAATTGATTCTTTGATGTGTATTACAGTATACATTATGGTACACCTCTTGTTCTACGTTTGTGTGTTGTGAGTGTTTTTTTGCCATAACTGTTTCAAACATCTCCTTCGCGCCCGGAGACTGGTCGCCTCAGTAGATCTCCCCGTGCCCCTCACCTCCCAACCCCTCCGACTCAACTCCTTGATGTGCGGCGCCGGCGAGGGCGACTTGGACCTCGGCCCGAGGAACGGTGCGCCGAACGGCTGGGGCGCCGAGTTCCTGGGCGCCCAACTGGGACCGATCCGATCCCGGATGCAGTGATCATGTCGGGTGCTTCATTCAAAACAGCTATGTAACTGTTCCCTGGGAGTCAAAGACCATTAAAACAATGGTTGACCTGGTTTTTGTATTGTAAAATCCTTAGTTGATTGGGTAAAGCCTATTAAATTAATGGTTGTTGGAAGCCTAGGGTGTTTGCAATTACCACGTTCATGGTCAGTAGCGATGGCCTCCAACCTACTTCCGATGGCCTCCACCTAATAGCGTCCTAGCTACTAAGGGGTCACAAACGGTCGCCAAACGTCACAAGATGTGTCCATCCCTATCCCGGAGCCGGTCCCCTATCGTCAATGTTCGCTGATGGGAGTCTGACATGTGGATGGCCTGGTCGAAGGCAGTGATACAAAACAGCGGATGGGGAGACTATGGGGTTCCTCAAAGTGAAGTCATGCTTTACTTAGTTGTTCGCGTTCCACTCAAAGAGAGGCGAAGTTCTTCAAGGTGCTTATGATCATCCTCCCAGCGACAGGTCCAGCGACCGGAACAAGTAAAGGGCTCTGACTTAGACTGAATCTGAAAGCTATACCTTGCAGAAGGACGAATGCATGGCATGGATGTTTTTCCATGTTGAGGGTTATGTCATATACTATGTCCATCTGATTCTTTCCGATTCTTTCCATTGCACCAAGGGAACCAACTCCCTCCTGAAAGTCCCAATAGTCCCAAAGTCCCTGCGGGAATCCCGGAGTCCCAGAAGAACCTGCTGCCCTCGCCTTGGCAGGCTGCGCCCCAAAAAGAACCAGCCAAATCCAAGTTGTCTCAAGTTATCGTACAATATTAGCTCTGATGACCTGCTTCTATAAAATTAGACTTTAGACCCCCTCTGAAACAATAAGAACAACTGGTTTTACACTGTTCATCCTGATTCCATGCGTCTCATGGTCCTCTCCAACTGTTTCTTCGACTTTCTGAACGGAGAGTCGGCCCGGCCAGGGTGACACAAACTGGTGCGCAACAGACTGGCTGAACTCAGAGAACCAGGACCTGAGACCCTGACGGCTGGAATGCCCAGCCGACGGCGCTCGTATCTCCGGCCGACGGATCACCCGTCCGCCGATCACCGCGATCGAAGCGGAGCGAAGAGAAACTGGATCTCCCGTCCCGAAAAGGAAGGTGGCACCGGTGTTCGATACATTCGATTGGTCATGTTTATCCAGGTCCAAAATGCTCAAACAGCTCGGAGACTTCCTCTCCCCCACGCGGTGGGTCCGGACCGTCCTAAGCGCCCCAACGAGGAGCTGCTGCCGTGGGAGGTGTTCCCGCGCGGGCCGGGGCCTGTGGCGCAAGCTGTGGGCCGTTGAGGGAGCTCAATTGACCCGTTACACTCCCTGGAACTAACATGGAAGTGGAGAATGACGCCTTGGAAGGCCATTTTCCACTACTAGTACAAACAGGTGGTTTTTCCGCTTGCATGTTAGTTCCAAGGGAGAGTAGGCTCTGTTGACCCGTTAGGACCCGCTAGGACCGTTCGGATTTGATCGGAGGGCCATGGGCCAACGGCCATGGGACGGGACTGCTTGGGGGCGGGACAGTCAGGTGTTCTTTGAGTCCTGAGGATTCCTGTGGCGCACCAGACGTGAAATTTCATAATCCGAGAAATGGTTTGACTAAGGATGTTAGACAACACCAGGTCCACCTTGGTCTTTAGAGGCCCGCTCAAATTGGACTAGGATGGACTGGAAACATCCGTGGCACACGAAGAGGAAGAAGTCCGGCCTGGTGTGCTCAGCCCAGCGCCTGACGTGGCACGTGGGTCACGTTTGGGGACAATTCGATTCTGAGGGGCCCTGGATACTGACCATGATGATGATGATGATGATGATGATGATGATGATGATGATGATGATG